ACCCACTTGGGCTGTCAGCGCGCAGCTTCCACTGAGGAACCTTTGGTTATCTCCCAGAGAGTTGTTCTGGTCACCATGCCTCAGTTGTCCTCTCAGCTTTCACCTGTTCCATGCAACCAGAGATTTGTCTCCAGAAAGGAACCCAGCTGCCTCTCTGGTCAACATGCCATTGGCTCAGTGGGAATTGGCCAAAAGGTGCTGGAGCAACCTGCCCTCTGCTTTCAGAGTGGCAGCAGCTCTGATAGCTTTTAACTAGCTGGCAGAGTAACCACTGTTAAGTAGAGCTCCATAAGGCACAGAGAAAAGCCTGAGCTATCTTCATCTAAGATGACCTCCCTGTTAACAAATCCTCATTTCTATGGGCTCAATTTAAATGTTCTTAGGAAAAGGTAGGAACACTTCAGGGTTCCTTTGTCTCTAATCTTATGTGCCAAAAAGCGGGGCAGGGGGCATACAAAGTGGCAGCAAAGATCAGAAAAAGGAAGTCTCAGGCCTGGGATTTAGCTCAGTGGCACCATGCCTGCCTCACAAGCGCAAGATCCTGAGTTTGATTGTCAGTGCTAGGAAAAAAGTCTTTTCTTCTCATTCTCATGATGAGTTACGGAGACAACTTGCTCATGAGTCAACCCCCTCAGCCTGGAAAGGCAAGAATGGGAAATCTCAAGAGCTCAGATTTCCTCCTCACCAGCAGAAAAGTTCAGACCAGAAAGGAAACAGAACAGACTCAACATTCCCTCTAGGGTGGAGAGGGACAATTGGGGCCAGTTTGTTCCAGTGAAACCTGTCCCCCAACCCTTAAGAATGGCGGTCAGCCTGTTACCTTTTAACTGGCAGATGGGGTCCCATAATTTTTTAATAGGCAAGTATATTTCCTAAATTTGAACTAGACTTCATTAAAAGACCCACTGTATAGCATTTCATATCAAAGTCCATTAGGGGACATTCTAACATTACTTTTCCCTGGTGTTGCTGCCTAAAATAACAAACCACAGCAGTCAAAGAGGTCAAACAAGGAACACTAGTAAGTTCAGCAACTAAGTCCAAATATAACATGTACAAACAGGAATAAACAGTCTCATCAAAGAAACATAATCTTCCCATGCTCTCGATTTAAATTTACCATCATTTTAACAAAAGACAATTCATAAAAGAGAAGCATGGCATAAAAATTCAAGGCATAAGCAATTAACAAACAGGGATGACAATTTTTAATTCCCTAAGCAAGTCACAGCGTGAATCTATGAAACAAAAACAAACTCTTATCTCCCTCCAGTTATCTCAGTGGGACCTCCAAAATGATCTGGGCATGATAGAAGGGAAATAGGTATAACTCCCAACCTGCTAGATGTCTGCTACACCAAGTTCATGTTCCCAAAACTGAAGAATGTATTCTAAGGAACAAGGGAGGTTAAGAATGGAAAATATTTTTTGAGGGATAGGCAGCTCCTGCCTGAGAAGGACAGAAGGGCACCCAGAAAGTGGGTTGTCTTGGACCTCACTTACAGGGGAGGCTTTATAGAGCAAAATCACAAGGTGGGTACAAGGTGGGACAAAACTATGATCAACCAATTAGATTACAAGCATACAAGCATAGTCACCTAGGTAATACTGATCCAATGGGGAAGCAAGTCACGTAGCAAGTGTACACGGAAAGAACAAGGACCTTTCCTGGAAGGGATGGGTCAGGAGGTCTTGGTCCCCCACCCAAGGGGACTGATGCTGATCTAGAATATCAATCATTATTGTTCATCCCTTGGGGAAGTATGTGGGTATAGTCTTTAGACTTGCCTTCAACGAATGCCACCGTTGTAATGTGTTCTCATCTTCTACACTGACTTCTTTGAGGGCCTATCCCTGACTGCCTATAATATTTCTAACTAAGGCTGGGGGTTTAGCTCAGTGGTGCTACTGCCTGCCTCTTAAACACAAGGTCCTGAGTTCTATCCCCAGTACAAAAAAATATAGATAGATAGATAGATAGATAGATAGATTAGCTGTCTATAATACTATTATGGTTTAAAAATCAAATACAACTGAGCATGATGGCTCATACCTATAATTCCAGCATTCTGGTAGACTGAGGCAGGAGGACTATGAATTCAAGCCCAACCCAGGAAATTTAGTGTCATAGACCTCTTAAGATAAAAAATTTTAAAAGGGGCATAGATGCAGCTCAGTGGAAAAGGGAAATAAGGCACCAAGATGGTGCATGCTTATAAACCCCAATGACTCACAAGGCTGAGGTAGGAGGGTCATAAATTGAAAGCCACCTTGTTCAACTTAGCTAGACTGTGTTTCAAAATAAAAATAAGAGGGCTGGGAATGTAGCTCAATGGAAGAGTGAAGAACGGCCGTGGGCTTTATCCCTGTTAGTGCAAAAAAAAAAAAAAAAGCAAATACAAGTCAGGCCAAATGGCACACACCTGTAATCCCAGCATTCTTGGATGCTGAGACAGGAGGATCTGAAACTCATGTCAGCCTTGGCAAATGAGCAATTTGGGCCTCAAAATATAAAATAGAAGAACTGGGAATGTATATCAGTGTAAGGGCGTGGGGTTCAATCCCCAATACCAAAACACACACACACACACATTCCATAAGCAAAATTTTAAATATTTTGGAAGTAAAGGTATATGAGTCCCTTTGTGATTTCTGTATAGGAAAGTTGGTTTTATTTTGTTCTCTCTCCCTCTCTCTCTCTCTCTCTCTGTCTCTGGTTTTTTGAGACAGGGTCTCACTATGTAGTTGAGACTGACCTGGAACTCACTATGTAGCCCAGGCTGGTCTCAAACTCACAGTCATCCTCCTGCCTCAGCCTCTTGAGTGCTGGGATTACAGGTGTGCACCACCACGCCTGGTTTGTTTTCTCTTTTTAAACAAGACACCAAAAGAAACACAAATTAGAAAAGACTGACAAATGTGACGTGAAAATTAAAAACCTGTTTTTATGAAAAGGTACCATAAGACACAGAGAAAAGACAAGCCTCTCACTAGAGGAAAATATTTGTAGCACAGGTAACTGACAAAAAGATTACTAACTGTAACATAAAAAGTACTATGAATCAATGAGAAAGCAAAAAACCCTTTGACAGAAAAATAGGCCCAGATAATTCACAGTACAAGAACCTCAAGTGGCCCATAAACTTAATGAAAGATGGGTTAGCAGCCGTGACGGCACACACCCATAATCCCATCTACTCCAGAGGCTGAGGCGGGAAGCTCACAAGTCCAGGTCCAGTCGGGACAACTTAGTGAGACCCTATCTGAAAATATAAAAATAAAAAGGGCATGGGAAGTGTAGCTCAGTGGTACAGCACCTGTCTGCCCTCAGGCCAACCTCCCAATACTGTCACACACACAAGAAATTTATCCTCATTGATTACCAGGGGAAGGCAAATTAAAACCAGAGTGCTGCCAATCAACTTGGTGGAAATCGTGAACCAGCAAAGTGCAGCTCTGCTAGCACCACATGACACCAGGTAATGCTGGACACCGCCAAAAGCTGACACAGCCAGCTGCTGGTCACTGCTGCTGCTGGCTGTCACCATCCAATGCTACCTTGTTGTGGACCTCATAGGCCGCTGGATGCAGTCTTCCTCAGCTGCTGGTGTCTGGAGCTCTTGTGCTGACAGCTCTGAGTGTGTATTGCTCTTTCATTGGAAACAACTGCTCTGTCTATGCCACTCAGGATAAAAATACCAAATAGATTTACAGTACTCTTGGAGCCCACACTACCCTAGAAATAAATCACGAGCAGGTTTTTGGGGACACCAGAGCGAGTCTTCATTTTAACAGGGCCTGTAATCCCAGCACTCAGGAGGCCAAACCAGGAGGATCACTGGGAGTCCAGGATCAGCCTGGGTTACATAGTGATTTCAATGCCAGCCTAAACTACATAGCAAGTCTCTGTCTCAAAAAAACAGTAAGTGAATTAATTACTTAAATTAAATAAAACAGTTAAAATTTTGCCTATTGGATATGTGCTTTTTTGTTTATTTCTGGTACTGAGGATTGAACCCAGGACCTTCACACTGAGCTATATCTCCAGGTCTTCTGCTTTTTATTTTGAGACAGAGTCTTGCTAAATAACCAAGTTGGCTAGGCTGGCTTGTACTTGAGCCCCTTTCCTCAGCTACTGGCAACCCGCATTAGCTGGAGTCATTTGATGACATTAGGACCACCAGCAGAACAGCACGTGGCTGATCCACCATTTCCATCTGAATTGAGTAGAAGAACCTTAGACTCATTAGCAGTAGTAAGAAACTTTAGATTGGCAAAATTTAAACATCTGACAATATCAAATGTTGGTGAGAATGTGGACAACTAGAATTGCTTCTCTAGCTAGTATATGTTAATAGGGCCACTTTGAAGAACAATCTGGCAATAAGTGTCAAAATTGTACATAACCATATGTAGCAGCCCAGGAAGCTAAAGACACAGGAACTCAAGCTGGATGTGGTGGTATATATCTATAATTCCAGCACTTGGGAGGCTGAGGCAAGAGGATCATGAGTTTAACGCCAGCTTTGGTCTACACAGCAAAACACTGTCTCAAAAACAAAACAAAACAAAAGACTGACAAACTCAAACTTACAACTTAGCAATTCCTGGGTATGCAAGCTAAAAAGATTCCTGGTGCTGCAGCTTTGTGGTAGAGTGCTTGCCCTAGCATGCTAGAGGCCATGAGTTAGTTTCCCAGCACTGGGGCACTGGGGGGAGGCAGGGAGGGAGATTTAGCTCAGTGGCACCACACCTACCTTATAGGCACAAGATCTTGAGTTCGATTGCTGGTATTGAAAACATTTTTAAAAAGGAAACTTCCTATTAGAGTTTATATCTCAACGTCCCCCTAGAGCCTCCGGCACTCACAGGTGCAGCTTTTGGAAGAAGTATGTACAAGACTGTTACAGCAGCATTGTTTGCCATGCAAAAAACTGGCAGGCCCCTCAGTCTCCATCAATGGGAGATTTGATAGAGTGGAAAAGTCTAATGATGTCCAAAGTCTCATTCTAGATTAGAATGGGCACTATTGATTGATGTCCCAAATTGGTCAATGTGGCTAAAACTGAGACACAGGTCACGCTTCCATAATAGTAAATGTACTGCAGAGGTGACAGTGAGACCCATAATGTTTTGCTCAAGAATAATGAAAACTGTTGACTTTCACTACTAGAAATGAATGATTAAAATGAATAATGCAGAATCTAGATCATGTGCCATAATACCAATATATTATGTATAATTCAAACTCTAGGCTCCTAAAGTGTAAAATGCTGGGAGAATTCTGGATATAAGATACCACGGATTTTGAAGTTTTCATTCTTTGTCTGTAATTCAAGGGGAGATAAAAGAATTGTGGGCAGATAGGATGACTGGACTTAGGATCAGTTCTTTTATAAAGGGCTATCTTGAGGCCGGGGATTTAGCTCAGAGGTTCTACTGCCTGCCTCACAAGTGCAAGGTCCCAAGTTTGACCCCTGGTACCAAAAAAAGGAAGGGGGGCTATCTTGAAGACAAAGAACCTCATTAAAGTGATCTTGATGAGTACTGAATTACATATGAAATTCCTTAAATAAAAAATATATTTAATTTTATAAAGAAGTCTAATGGTGTTAACAGCTTCTGTCCTGCTCTAATACCAGCTCCACCTGGAGTTCCAGACAGAGGAAAAGGACAGTAAGTAAACAGGGCTCAAGTTAATAGTAATAAAACACCCAGGAAGCAACTAGCTACCAAAGCCCCAGGCAAGAGTGTGCCCTTTACCGGGAAGATGAAGAAGCCTCATCACAGGCCCACTACTGAGGTACTCAGTGAAATTAGATGTTACCAGAAGTCCACTGAACTAGGCCAGACATGGTGGCAACACAGGCCTGTAATCCCAGCAGCACTTGGAACTTTGAGAGGCTGAGGAAGGAAGATTGAAAGTTCGAGCCTAACCCCGACAACTTAGTGACATTTTCCCCCCTACTGTGCTGGGATAGAACCCAGGGCCTCACACAAACTAGGCAAGAGCTGTATCAGTACCCCACATTCTACCTGGCATTTTGATGACACCAACTTGTGTGCTATCCATGCCAAACTGTCACAATTATGCCAAAAGACACCAAGCAGCTCTCTACATCATACATGTGGAGAACATGTGTAAGAATCTACAATAATGGGAAATACTTATTTCTCAAAAAAGAAAAACATATCTTCCTATTATTGCTAGTCCTGATCTTAAATATTTTCCCTTTGGGGTCAAAAGATGCCTAAGTAAGCTGGGTGTGCTGTTTCATGCCTTTAGTTCCAGCTACTCCGGTGGCCCAGGCAGCAGGATCACTTGAGCTAAGAGTTTAAGACCAGCCTGGGCAACATAGCCCCCTACTCAAAAACAAAATAAAGTTCAGGATGTCCTGGTGGTTCACTATCGGCCTTTTCATCCTCATTTGTCCTACTGTTTGCCATTGGTGAACTGGAAGTCTGTCTTTGCGTCTTTCTTAAGTGTTTTCTCAGTTTTATTTTTGTTGTCAGCTGTCCTTGGTTTAATCTCTGGGTTATCACCCAAATCTTCCTGATATAGTTGCACCCTAGCTTCTGGGTCTCTAACGACTCACAGACATTCTCATCTCCATAACATCAGAGAAAACAGCTTATCAAATCAACCACAATCCTTTATCCCAACCAGCAACACAATATGATCAAGCACAACTTGGAAACTGACCCCCTGTGGTAGTCACTAGTCTATCACCCTTAAACCATTTGAATTAAAATGAAATCAAGAAGCAGTCTGAAACATGTCTGCAGTGAATAAACTTTTCAATATAGTATATTTACCATTTAGGATGAGGGCTCAGACAGTGCTAGGACTCAAGACCCCTGATCTCAGTTAGCTGATGGCTGAACCCCATGACACAGACTGACCTCAGGCTGCAAGGCCCAGATTGAGTTCCCCAACCTTCTGAATGGTTGAACTCCACACCTTTCTATTACAGGTTTCCCACGCCCTTTCTTTAAAGATATTCAATGTTGGGAACTCAGAAAAATACCCTCTATGACCACCTCTGCCTCTGCAGAGTGGGTCCAAAGACTGGCTCAATCAGGAGGTCTGAGAGTGTGCCGGGGGGGGATGCTACCTTCCTGGTGCTGGAGTGATGGTGGCTCCTGGTGGGGGAAGGCGTGGCTATCCTTCCCGCGGTGGATCAGGGCCCAGGCAGCCCTCCTGGTGCCTGAGCGATGGCGGCTCCTGAACTCAAAGCACAGGAAGTAACAAAACAGATCAATCAGGCTCTAGAAAAATTCAAAACAGAAATAATTTCCCAGATAACCATAGAGATAGTGAGCAAAATGAAAGACGTGATTTGAGACTCTAGAACAGAAACTGACAAAAAAATAGATGAGCTCAGTACCACAATAGAAGCCATGAAGGTCCAGCATAAGAAAGAAATGGAAACAATAAATGCCCAACATAGGAAAGAAATGGAATCCATAAAACAGATTCAAACAGATATCCAGGAGATTCAACACTCCATTGAAAGTGTATGCAACAGAATAAGAGAATGCAAAGATAGAATCTCAGATATTAAAGATAAGATGGCAGTCAGTGACCATGAAAAGAGAGGTCTCTTAAAAACAGTAGGGGATCTTGAGAAATCGATCCAACAACTCCTAGATGATGCAAAGAAGAATAACATAATTCTGATAGGAATACATGAAGTAGCAGGAGAAAATACAAATTACTTTAAAAAGCTGTTCACAGAATTAATGACAGAAAACTTCCCAAACAGAGGGGAAGAATTTTAGACA